GGTGGTCCTAGCAATGCTCAGTCTATGATAAACGAAGTAGCTACCTGGTCAACACTCAATTCATTTCAACTCCATCCGAAAAAATGTAATGAGCTAAGAGTTTCCTTTGTGCGCTCCCCTCCTTCCTACGATCTGATAGAAATTAATGGCTCTAAGGTTAGTGCCGTTAGTGTCGTAAAATTACTGGGTGTGTATTTTCAAGACAACCTCAAGTGGAACACTCACGTTACTGAGACGATTAAAAAGGCCGCTAAGCGCCTTTACTTTTTAACTCAGTTAAAGCGAGCTAAGGTACCATCACCTGAATTAGTTAATTTTTATGTTGCTTGTATTCAATCTGTCTTACTTTATGGATGTCAGGTCTACCATTATAGCCTCCCCAATTATTTGAGCTTAGGTTTAGAGCGTGTCCAAAAGAGAGCCTTGAAAATTATATACGGTTATGATAATCATTATAGAGAAGTGCTTCAGATGGCAGAGCTGAAAACCCTAAGGGATCGGAGAGAAGACCTTTGCTTAAAATTCTTTAACAACATCGTCTCCAATCCCTTGGATTGTTTGTACCACTTACTGCCTTTCGATAACCGAGGTCAACTTATGGAGTTACGACAACGCAGACCATTTAGAGTTTCCTTTAAAACAAATCGGTTCAGAGATACTTTCATTCCGGCAAGCGCAAGACATTTTAACTAACATTTATTACAATTGTATATGTAAATTAGTTCCCTTTTAGGTTTGATTTTATTGTATAGTTCTATTACATAATTTGTACACCTTTGCAATTCAGCTTCCAGCTGCTATTAAGGTATTCTTCTCAATAAACGTCTATCTATAAACGTCTATTGTTCAGTCCTATTTAAGTAACTTAATTCCAATTTTTGTATTTTCAGATCCAGCTCGGATTGAAAATTTTCAGCGTGAGCTCTTAGTCGCATCATTTCAAAATGTTACCCTTCAATGTCCCGCTGAGGGAAATCCTCCACCCAAGTATACTTGGTCTCCATGCAAGGCGGGGCAAGTTTGTGATAAGCCCAAACTCAACCTTGGAGAAGTCCTCAGTGATGGTGTTTACGCTTGCAGCGTAACCAATAACTTGGGCAGTGATGCGGAAAATGTTACCCTTTGTAAGTTTGCGTAGTTTAAACTTATGTAGTTTCCGTTTTTTATCAACTGTTTGTTATTCACAAACTGTCTCAGTGAGACGTATCACTGAAGCCACTTAAAAATGGGTTACTTACTTAAAATGTAATTTACTACTACAGTCGAACCTGTATGAAGCGATAAACCGGGGGGAGCGGTGGGTAAGCGCTAAATACGGGTCGACCGCCTAAAACAGATTGACCAGCAAATGACTTGCGTGATGTTCGTGCGACAATTTGTCCTAACAGCCTAAAGAAGAAAGGTGATCTGTAATACGTCGACATTTAAATTCACAGTACTAGGATTTATTTCGGGAGATAAACAACGAATTAATTTTAGTTGAGAGATTATTCTTTTTCTTATTTGAGTAGTTCCGCAGTCATAGACAGTCTCTGTAGAAGCGGTCCGATGCATTTCGCTTCAAAAAATCGATTTCTTTCAAACTTTGCCCATGAATTTGTCTTAGTTTAAAAGTAATCGAAATCACCTTGGTTTTTCGAAATATTGAAGAATGATTTTTCCGAACGAAAATCGCTCTAGTTTTTAACAGGGCTAAACATCAAATATGGCACATAACTTGAAATACTCGTCTTTTCACAGAGCTCTAGCTTGAGGAATGTTTTTTGCTTCGCATATTTAGATCGATCCTTTGTGAGAACAATTCACATAAGTTTTTCTTTTTTAACGGTTTTTTTACACTGAAAATTATTTTTCAGTTTGACAGCTACTTTGCCTTTACCGCCATGACCGTAAATATGCAACTTTTAATCTCGACTCAGGGCAACTTCTTTCCCCGTGATATTTTTATTCAAACTTACTTAGATAGGATAGAGGATTATAAAAATATGAAAATATGTTGCGGTTTCGGCGAGCTTCTACCACAGCCGGTCAACATAACATGCACATTTTCGAAAATTGCACCCAACAATGCGCAAAAATCGGACTCAATTATTTACAAAATTTACGTCTATAATCATGGTTGGCACCTGAATTGAGCACTTTGAAGCTTTTTCATGCTTGCTGATACCAGAACACTCATCTAGAAAACTGCTCCTCCAGGCGACCTATTGTTTTTTTTATCACTCAGTAATGAGAAAGAAGAAAAAGAAATCACTAAAAGTCAGGATAGACATAGGTGACTGTTCAATACAGGTGGATGACAACAAACTACAACAACACGCCGTTGAGACTCAGTGAATGGTGACTGCGACCACCAAATAGAGCTGATCGATTAGTAGTGGTGAAAACTACAGTTTTGAAGGGAAAAACTAGCCTGCAGTGCTGGCGTCCTATTCATCTGTAGAGTTTCGGTTCCCATTCTCTTTCCCGCTATAGCGAAATGTCCGAATGACGCATTTGGCTTGTGATTGACAGCTAGAGCAAAATTGCACCAATCAGAAACTCCCTTCGTGGGCGAACAGAGTTTTGCAAAACAGCAATGAGTTCGGGTAGGTATAAAATTCACTTCCCCACCCCAACCCCTCTCCCTATTTATGACGGTCACTCACCCCCTTGGTACAAATTAATTTCCCTGCCCAGCCTTCCGCTGCCATTAAAATCAAAGACAGCGGCTATTTTTCGCTAAAAAATGCTGAGCACTCTCTCGCCCAAATTATGCCTACTCTACCGGCTAAGGAAGCACTTTCAGGACTTTGATAATCGATCTATTAACACAGGATGACCGCTCAAAGCGGTGTCGCTTAATACGGGCTCGACTGTATTTCATTATTTAATTTTTTTATTTTTCCGTAAACGGAACGGGTGTAGAAAACTCAATTAAACACTAGGAAGATTTAACTGAGATTGAAAATACACCTTTTTGCAGTAGGCTTTTTCTCTACTATTATTTTCTCAGTTATAGCAGCAAAAACAGTAAATGTAACCCTAGTTGTCACAAGCGAAGATTGTACTGAAGAAGGAGTTACAAGCTCTGTGAAGGAAAAGCTCATTAAATTGGTAATTGTTTCCTTTGACAGCTTTTGACATTGTTGATTTCTATCTCCTGTGGTTGTATTGCGATGCGAAACTGTTTTCTCAAATTGCAGATTGATACCATCTTTGAGCCCTCAGACCNCACATAAAAATAGGTTACTTACTTAAAATGTAATTTACTACTACAGTCGAACCTGTATGAAGCGATAAACCGGGGGGAGCGGTGGGTAAGCGCTAAATACGGGTCGACCGCCTAAAACAGATTGACCAGCAAATGACTTGCGTGATGTTCGTGCGACAATTTTTCCTAACAGCCAAAAGAAGAAAGGTAATCTGTAATACGTAGACATTTAAATTCACAGTACTAGGATTTATTTCGGGAGATAAACAACGAATTAATTTTAGTTGAGAGATTATTCTTTTTCTTATTTGAGTAGTTCCGCAGTCATAGACAGTCTCTGTAGAAGCGGTCCGATGCATTTCGCTTCAAAAAATTGATTTCTTTCAAACTTTGCCCATGAATTTGTCTTAGTTTAAAAGTAATCGAAATCACCTTGGTTTTTCGAAATATTGAAGAATGATTTTTCCGAACGAAAATCGCTCTAGTTTTTAACAGGGCTAAACATCAAATATGGCACATAACTTGAAATACTCGTCTTTTCACAGAGCTCTAGCTTGAGGAATGTTTTTTGCTTCGCATATTTAGATCGATCCTTTGTGAGAACAATTCACATAAGTTTTTCTTTTTTAATGGTTTTTTTACACTGAAAATTATTTTTCAGTTTGACAGCTATTTTGCCTTTACCGCCATGACCGTAAATATGCAACTTTTAATCTCGACTCAGGGCAACTTCTTTCCCCGTGATATTTTTATTCGAACTTGCTTAGATAGGGTAGAGGATTATAAAAATATGAAAATATGTTGCGGTTTCGGCGAGCTTCTAGGACAGCCGGTCCCGAAAACTCCACCCAACTGTGCGCAAAAATCGGACTCAATTATTTACGAAATTTACGTCTACAATCATGGTTGGTACCTGAATTGAGCACTTTGAAACTTTTTCATGCTTGCTGATATCATAACACTCATCTAGAATACTGCTCTTCCAGGCGACCTATTGTTTTGTTTATCACTCAGTAATGAGAAAGAAGAAAAAGAAATCACTAAAAGTCAGGATAGACATAGGTGGCCGTTCAATACAAGTCGATGACAACAAGCAACAACAACACGCTGTTGAGACTCAGTGATTGGTGACTGCGACCACCAAATAGAGCTGACAGATTAGTAGTGCGTGGTAAAAACTACAGTTTTGAAGGGAAGAACTAGCCTGCAGTGCTGGCGTCCTATTCATCTGTAGAGTCTCGGTTTCTATTCTCTTTCCCACTATAGCGAAATGTCTGAATGACGCATTTGGCTTGCGATTGACAGCTAGAGCAAAATTGCACCAATCAGAAACTCCCTTCGTGGGCGAACAGAGTTTTGCAAAACAACAATGAGTTCGGGCAGGTATAATTTTCACTTCCCCACCCCAACCCCTCTTCCTATTTATGACGGTCACTCACCCCCTTGGTACAAATTACTTTCCCTCCCCAGCCTTCCGCTGCCATTAAAATCAAAGACAGCGGCTATTTTTCGCTAAAAATGCTGAGCACTCTCTCGCCTAAATTATGCCTACTCTGCCAGCTAAGGAGGCACTTTCAGGACTTTGATAATCGATCTATTAACACAGGATGACCGCTCAAAGCGGTTTCGCTTAATACGGGCTCGACTGTATTTCATTATTTTCTTGTTTTTTTTTTTCCGTAAACGGAACGGGTGTAGAAAACTCAATTAAACACTGGGAAGATTTAAATGAGATTGAAAATACACCTTTTTGCAGTAGGTTTTTTCTCTACTATTATTTTCTCAGTTATAGCAGCAAAAACAGTAAATGTAACCCTAGTTGTCACAAGAGAAGATTGTACTGAAGAAGGAGTTACAAGCTCTGTGAAGGAAAAGCTCATTAAATTGGTAATTGTTTCCTTTGACAGCTTTTGACATTGTTGATTTCTATCTCCTGTGGTTGTATTGCGATGCGAAACTGTTTTCTCAAATTGCAGATTGATACCATCTTTGAGCCCTCAGACCTTAACTACATAGGCGCAGACCCCAAGGGTTACAGGTATTTAATACATGCTTATATCGTTGTTAACTTATTTTAAGAGTCCCGTGATCATTGTTGGTGGCGTCTTTGGAGGCCCGTTCTGTTCAAAATTGACTTATTCATTTTGCCACAAGTAAGCTTTTTCAGTTAATAAAAAAATTGGCCTTTTTCAATTTCATTTTTACAATACAATTTCTATTTTTCATACTGCCCTGTAATTTCATGCTTGGTGTGGAATTTTTTTTTTTTTTCGATGGATGGGAAAAAATTTCATATATAAACCGCTATAAGAAATGAATAATGCACTTTCATTTGTTTATTTAGTAAATGGGAGATTAGTTTGAGAAGGAAAGAATGCTCGTTTTTGCAGCTCCGCAGCTTTATGCCCAAAAATCCATTAGTTATCTTTAGTCTGGCAAAGTTCCAGTGATTTGCGGGCAGCTCTAAATTTGAACAAAATCTATTTTTTAAGTTCTCTGTTTATATTCTTTTCTCTACAAGCGGTTAGCCTACCATGATTGATTTGTGTAGTTGTCGTCTTGCGATTTTCCTTCAAGACAATTGCGCCGCAATTGTATGATGAATCTCGCTAAAATACAACCTAATACGTCTCCTTTTCTTCCTGTGGTTAAAGATTACTAGGAAAACGGTGTGTTCAATTGCGCGACAATTGCTGGTCCCTGTGAACTTTATTTCGCTAAGAGGAAATGTAGTGTCTACATAAGTAGAATCAGATATTGTATAAAGTCATTTCCTTCTTGTACGTATTTATATATCGAAACAGTTTTCCTTTAATCAACGAGTGTTATGGTCAGCTTTTTTTTCTCAAAAATGTTCTAACCCTCGAAAAAACAGGGTCATTTTATACCCTTGCTTCTAAATAACTGCCACCGCTTCACAGAAAACGATACGGTTCGTCTATCTCCACAAGGGACTCTTTGGAGAGCTTCGACTGTACACGTGCATGCATATGTGCTTGAGTTACTTTAGTTAAAAGTATTTGATCAGTTGATGTCAGTTTTGCTTCGTCTGGCTAGTGTTTTCTTCTGCGTGAAGCTTCTCTAACCCCTATCTATTTGCGTAAGCAGCTCAAATGTCATTCTTCTAAAACTTTTCCTTAATTAAGGAATTCCCTTATCCGGGCGACCACCTCATATTTAATTATTTGCACTTTCAATCCGTTAATATTTCCCGTTGATCTCCCAAGTTGCGGCAGTGTAACTGTTTACATGGCATTAAAGTTTAACTCCATCACCAAAGAAAAAGATGTGATTGCAAAAATTCGCACTGCTGTAATGAATGGAGCGACAGAAGGTTTTACATTCGATGTCTCATCGATAACTGGGACAAGAATACCTCCAGAAAAAGCCACAGAAGTGCTAACCTCGCCTACCAGCACACCTAAAGGTATCTTTCCAGTCTTTTTAAACTATTAATTACAGTTATTTCTTTCAAGTTGTTACCTTGTATATACCCCTGCTAAGGTTTGACATAACCATGACTGTCAATCAGAAGTGAGGGAACCCACACCAACCGTGTAAACGGTTGTTTGTTGAATTAAGAGGAAATAGCTGGGGATATCGAGAAACATCATATGAGCTTCGACTAATAATCT